GTGAAATACTATAGGGTCCTATAGAGAATAATAAGCCAACAAAATATATTACATATAGTACTATTTTGTCCCGATTGTCGAGTACCCATTATGAACAAGGCTGGTTATGATTAATGATATTATGAATAAATCTATATCATAATTTTTTTCTATTTCTCTACCGTACTGCACTATGTGGGGCGGGGGACAGGGAGCCCGCCACTAAGAACGGCTGCGAGAAGACTACTCTTTCTCACATCCGTACAGTTTAAAACAATATGCATAATCTCACATGAAGTTCGCTTATTTTTATTTATCTATTTCGAATTTACTTTTATTTAGCTTATTACTTTTCTTTTATAAACACGTTTCCTCCTGGAGACTGGGGCGAGGATATCCATGATCCTTTGCGATGTTCTAATTGTCTCGTTCGAGCGCCATTTCTAACGGTCATGTTTGAGGCGAGTCTACAGATTTTTCGTCTTTCATGGCAGTTCTCGTGGATTTTATTCGTTTACAAACAACATCTTTCAACTAGTAAGCTATCCAAATGGCTGTAGTGTCTTTAGGCATGATATTTAACCGTGGATGGCCGTCAACTGGTGAGATTCGTTGGCAATTTTCATGTAAGGTACGTTAGTCTGTTTTGTCGCTCAGTTTAATACCGTGAACAGTACTTTTTATGCATTATTGTTGAGKTATATCATTAGTCRTCGACGATGTTAAACATAATAAGACTGTGTAACAAGATCTTTCTTGCTCACAGGCACCAAATCAAAGTCTTGAAACGAATATGGATACATGTAGTATAAGCTTACAAGAAGCTCAATCCAGTCGCTCAATCAGCTGAAACTAATGTAGGTGATTATAAAGCTTGTAAACTGTAGTTCTCATATGTATCCATAGGAATCTGTTGACTTTGGCTAAACACAGCTTATCTTTGCCTTATGATACTATAATATTTGTGTTAAAGCAGTGTGATTTATCAAGAAGTCCTGCTTTTTGAATCATTTTAAAACTGCATCTTTGATTGTATTCATTTTCGTTAATAGAATATATTCATGATTTCCTAGCCAGAGATCAACTTCCTAAATATAAATATGAGAAATACAATTTGCAATTTATTGTATGTGGCTGTTATACATGCACTATATCTAATGATTATTTCATTTACTAATCATATTTAAGTAAGCATATTGTTGTTGTTGTTTTTTATAAGCATTGTAACCTTTGAAAAATTTTCCAGATTACAGGAGATTTTTGGCATGATGCTAATAATAATTCTTAACAGACATCAACTGGCTATGTGAATTGCAGTGTGCAAATTTATGTTTTGAAGCTTGAGGCTACACAGGTCTAGTCATATAGTCATTTATAACACAGCCCAATTCTGTTGTGTACCAGTTTGATCAATCAGTCTTTACAGCTAGTTTTAGAGCAAACGCATGGAAACCATGAAATAGAGTGCAAGTCACATAAGCATGAAACAATTCTTAACATGTATTGCTAAATAAGATTTAGTTATCAACTAACTAAGAATTCAACAAAGCATAAACACAATGCCAATTATTTAAATTCCTTTGTAGTATTGTTCTCAATTCTTAGTTAGTTGATAACTAAATCTTATTTAGCACTAAATAGTTAAGAATTGTTTCATGCTTATGTGACTTGCACTCTAAAACCAAACTAAATACTAACAAATAGC